AGGCCCAGGCCTGCCGCCACGCGCCTGGCTGTTAATTCTTTAGTTTTCCTGGAACAGTACTTTCTTCAGGGTTTCTTGAAGAACTGTTCTGGTGTTGGCAAATTCTTTCAGGTTCTGTTTGTCTGAGAAGATTCTAATCTTTTTTCCCATATGAAGGATAATCTTGCTGGATATAATAGTCTTGGTTGAAATTGTTTCTCTCTTAAAACTTTCAATACATCTTCCCATTCTTTCTTTGCTTGCATTGTTTCCGTTGAGAGGTCTGGTGTTAGCCTAATAGGGTGACCTTTGTAAGTCACTTCTCTTTTCTCTCTTGCCAGTTTTAGTATCATGTCATTATCTGTGGTCTTCGAGAGTCTGGCTACAATGTGCTTTGGGGAAGATCTTCTGGGGTTGAGTCATTTGGGATCCTTTGTATTTCTTGAGTCTGGATGCTTGAGTACCTTGACTTGGGAAATTTTCTTCCAGGATTTCATGAAATAGATTTTTCATGCCGTTATTACTTTTCTCACCTTCTTGGATGCCCATTATTCTGATGTTTGGGCATCTTATGGAATTCAGTATTTCTCATATATTATCTCTGGGGTTTTTTTTGTTATTTTCTCTATCTTCTTGGTGTTTCTTTCTAGGTCAGAGGTTTTATCTTCTACATCGGAGATTCAATCTTCTGCATGGTCTAATTGATTTTTAATATTTTCAAGAGAGTTTTTGATTTCCTGTATTACAGACTTCATCTCTAATAGCTCCATCTGATTCTTTCTCAGAGTGTCTATTTCTTCTTTTATATTGTGGAAGGATTTCCTAATCTCCTAAAGTTCATTGTCTCTTTTCTGTTCCAACTCATAGAATTTGTTCATCATGAAGGTTCTAAATTCTTTCTCTGACATTTTGGTGACATTCTCAGATTGTAGGCAAGATGGAGGGGAGTTACTCTGTTCCATTGATGGAGACATATTTCCTGACTTATTCAGACCTGAGGCTTTTCTCCTACTTCTAGCCATTAGAAGACATATTCACTTGGGAATACCTCTTAGGAAAACGTTTCTTTGACTAGGAGCAAGTATGTTTCCTTTTTGCTGTGAATTTATGTGTGCAGAAGTACCTCTTCTGTTCTTTTTAGCAGTGTGGTCTCAAGAGGGGTACTCTATTCAAGTGTCTAAACAGTACTATCTACATATTCACAGGTGGTTCAGTACAGTGGAGGATCCCAGGAACCTTCCAATACAAGGGAATTTCAAAACCATGATTCTGGATCTGTCTAATCCCTCTGGAAGGGTGGAGGATGAGGTAGAGAGAATAATGTAAGAAGAAAGAGAAGAGTACAGAGGAGATGAAAGAAAATGTCACCAGTGGCCTAGAGATGGAATGGGAGGGCTCCTGCAGGGCAAGGACTTGTCTGGTCTGTGAGACATGGGGGAGGAGAGAATTAGCAAACAAAAAGAAAGAGCAAAGAAGGAAAAAAAATTTTAAAAAATAAAACCGTGCCTACCTTTAAAGGGGGTGGGGTCCTTGTCTTGGGAACCTGGAAGTGGGCTGGGGGCATTGGTGCCCCAGCCTGAGTTTCCCTTGCTGGCCAGTGGGCTAGAGCGATGGAAACATATTTTCTGATTCATCCAGATCTGAGGCGCTTCTACTTCTAGCCATTGGGAGATGTATTCACTTTGGAATAACTTTTGGGAGAATGTTTCTTTGACTAGGAGAAAGTGTGTTTCCTTCTTGCTGTTGACTTGTGAGTCCTGAGGTCTCTCCTGTTGTGTTTAGCAATGTGACCCAAGGAAGAGAATTCCCTTCAGGTTTCTGAAGAGCAGTATCTCCTTTTTCGCAAGTGGTTCAGTAAAAGGGAAGACCCCAAGGTGTCTTACAATACAAGGGTATTTCAGAACTGTGATTATAGACCTATCTAGTCTGCCCCAGAGGATGAAGGAAGAGGAAGAGAGGATGAAATAAGAGGGGGGAAAGTAAGGAGAATAAAGAAAAAGCCACGCACCTAGCTAGCCTCAGTGTCCCTTAGGCCAGCGGTCTGGAGATGAAAGTGGGCCTGCTGGACAGCTTGGGGAGGTGCTGGCAGACAGAGATAGGGGGTCTCTAGGCTTGGGGTGCTGGGGCTGGAGCTGAGGCAGGGGACCCTGCCTCAGTGTCCCTTAGGTCACCCGACGTACATCCTTTCAGATGCCCAAGTTTGTTATGTATACACGATGAGGCCAAATCCTATCAAACGTTTACAAACCATGTGACCTTGGAATCATCTATAAAAATCTGTGAGGTTCTATGTCCTTTATAGAATCCTGAAAGCAGGAGAATACTAGCTAGCAAGAGGCTATCTAACTGCACTAAGGGTTCAGATCGGGACATGATAGTATAATCCATACAAGAATACTGGAACTGCCACGGGGTTTTCCCTTCCGTGTAAGAGGTAATCACCCTTTGTATTTCCTCCTTCCACACATTCTCCTTAGGCCAACCACAGCACAGAGGAGGGCTTCCTCCTGCTGGGTTTCTGCGACTGGCCCTCCCTGCAGCCCCTGCTCTTCGCCCTTGTCCTCTGCTGCTACCTCCTGACTTTGACCGGCAATTCAGCGATAGTGCTGCTGGCGGTGCGCGACCCGCGCCTGCACACGCCCATGTACTACTTCCTCTGCCACCTGGCCCTGGTGGACGTCGGCTTCACCACGAGCGTGTTGCCACCGCTCCGCCAAGTGCTCAGGCTGCCGCGGGGCGGCTGCATGGCCCAGTTGTACGCGTCGCTGGCGCTGGGCTCCACCGAGGGCGTCCTCTTCGCAGTGATGGCACTGGACCGCGCGGCCGCGGTGTGCCGCCCGCTGCGCTATGCCGGGCTCGCGTCCCCGCGCCTCTGCCACGCTCTGGCCAGCGCCTCTTGGCTGGGCGGTCTTGCCAATTCTGCTGCGCAAACCGCGCTGCTGGAGGCGCGGCCCCTGTGCGCGTCCCATCAGCTGGACCACTTTTTCTGTGAGCTTCCTGCGCTGCTCAAGCTGGTCTGCGGAGAGGGCAGAGACGTCATCGAGCGCCAGATGTTCGTCGCCCGCGTGGTCATCATATTGGTGCCCTCCGCCATCATCCTGTCCTCATATGGCGCGGTGGTCCGCGCTGTTTGGGGCATGCGGGCCAAGGGACGCTGGAGGAAAGCGATAGGCACGTGTGGGTCCCACCTGACTGCGGTCTGCCTCTTCTATGGCTCAGCGATTTACAC